TGAAAGACATAGAAAAATTAGACATAATATATATTTAGAGAAATATTGTATTTAGGAAAAATAAATACTTATACTTAGAACTAAGTTAGAGCATAAATGTATGGAGAGTAAATTATATTTTGTGTATTTAGCGAGGTTGCATTTAGAGAAGTGTTACTGTACAATCTATTGTTACACTCAATTCGAAAGTTAGGTTGGCAAACGAATTGTAGTAGTAACAAATGTTGGATGATTTACATGAAGTGAGATACACGTTATAAAGTCTCCTATGCCAAGGTATTAATTGTTGGTATTTCTTTAATTCTTTTAAGCAAAATTTCAAACTTCGTGGAACTCATCTTACACAGAGATTGTGCAATCAATAATTAAAGGATTTCAAGGACAAAAGGCAAAGTATAAAAGAATATTTTTAATCCAAATAACAATGACAATAACAAATTATTAACAAAATATAATTTCTAATCAAAAAACAAACTAACTAACAAATGTTGACTGACAAAACTCAAATAATATTTTAATTCAAAACATAAAAAATTAGGATTATTCCAAAACAATAAAAAAATGAATATCACTATCAAAATCAAATAAAGAATAATCCAATAATCAAAGAATCGAAGATTCATCAACTTTGCATGGCCAGAGCAATAATGCCTTCGGTTTTGTAAAGCGCAAAAGAAGCTAAGTCACAGAAGAAATAAAAACCGAGACGCAATGAGATAAGAGTTAAAATAATTTTTTAGTAAGTTATTTTTCTTCAAACTACATACATTGCCTTGTCTCTCTGACCTTCGAGAGCTATCCTTTATATACAAAAAGCGGGCATGGCTATGCTTCGAGACAAAGAGCATAATAAATCAAATATAACAATAGAAAAACAAAGTAGAATTATTATGTACATTACAAAGTGCGGATTTTTGTAAGAATTTCTAATCATTTCTATGGATCAAAGGAATAACGTACGATACAAACTTTATATGAAATTTCTAATGTTAATCACATTCTTGGATGGGAAAATAAGAAATTTGTAAGAAATTCTTATTATTTGGCAAGGTAGTGTTAAACCTGATACCACATAGTAAGAATTATATAACGAAGCGGTATCAATTTTGATACTCCAAAGATAGGATTTTTTGTCTGAATTTCGCGGAGAGAATCATTTTTAAATTTTTGTGACACATTACCAATAGAGATAAAGATCGTTCCAGAATTTCGCAATCACGAGATTTCTCGTTGCGAAGGCAACACAAAAATAAACAATTTTCGTTACACATTAATTTTGATTTGGTTTACCCTTAAAAAGGAAATTTTTTGCCACTGGAATTGGATCATTATCAACCTATAAAAGGCGTAGATGATCAGTATTTTATGTTCGGAAAATTCTTCAATTAATGTACCTAATTTAAAGGGCAGATAATATCATTATTGTACCGCGTACTTGTTTTACTTAAAGAGATGGTCTTTTTTCAATGACTTCTATGTAATCTGGCCTTCATTTGTTCGTCAAGAATCCGTTCCTACTAAATGCTTGCTAAAAAAGCTTATCAAGGTTTTCTGAACTATTCTAAATCCGGAAGTGGGTAATTAACTTTGTGACTTTAAAAAATTTTAGAAGCACAGAAGTGGGTAATTAACTTTGTGACTTTAAAAAATTTTAGAAGCACAGAAGTGGGTAATTAACTTTGTGACTTTAAAAAATTTTAGAAGTAAATAGGCAAATTGGAAGTTGACTTGCGAACTTTATATATTCGAATTGGGAATCGTAAACTATAAATATTAATAACCGTTTCGCTTCAAGATAATTTTCTTATAAATAAGTAGCAAATTCCACATCCCTCACCACTTCAAATTCACAATGAAGAAACTTACTTTAACACTTATTTTTACTATTATAATCTTCAGTAATTCCGCCTTCGCTACTCGTTTGAAATGGAAAAGAGACGAATTTTTACTACTTGGTCGGCATAACGTTGGTGAAATATTTAATAAAAACGGATCTTTAGTAACAAGGGATTATTACTACTATTGCGACACCGGATATTATCAATGTTCAGATAATAGGGGATGTTGTCCCATCGGCTCAGCTTGCATACCAAATACTATTAAATGTAGCATAAGTTGTGGTGCCAATCCTGTACCTTGCTACGGTGGTTGTTGCTTTGAGGGCGAAATCTGCCTCAGCTCCGGCTATTGTAGTAAAGTATCATCACCGCCAGCAGCGACATATGTATCAGTGGCATCACCACCAACAGTGACGCATACATCAATAGCACCATCGCCATCCAAGACAACATTAGTGGTATCATCACCACCAGAGACACCACCAGCAGAAACATTAACATCAGAGGAATCTTCATCACCAGTGACATTAACATCAGTGATATTTTCATCACCGGTGAAATTAACATCAAAAACACCAAATGCGACAGCAATAATATTTCCATCATTACATGCAGGAGATTCAACGACCGGATCAACAACTAATTCATTCATACAATCTACTGCAGCCAGTCTAGTCATGGAAAACAGTTCAGGCATCTCACTAGCGATAATTCTAGTTATTCTGGTTTCATTGATTTAGTATAATATTTCTCAGTTCACATACTTTTAATAGATATTATAATAATAATGTGTTTTATTTGTATCGAGTTTCCAGTACCTGCGTTAGTTTCTATGTAATTTATACATTTTAACCGAATATAAATTCATTGTACTTGTAACTTTTGCATCTATGTTACTAATAATAATTTAATGCTTACCATCTTTATCTTCGCAAATAAACTATCATTTAATGACCTGATATCGATTGAGAAAGACTTTTATATTTGAAAGGAATAAGCATAAATATTTGAAAGCACATTGGATTTATTTTTCAAGACATTTAGCTATTGATTGTTAATATACACAGCTTTCAAATTTATAAATATTAATTTTCTTAAAATTTTCTAAAACTTCAAGATAGATAGCACATATCGATATTTAGAAAATAACAACTTTTAATATTGTTGTTTTTGCAACATAAAATTCCATGATTACAGAAATTTCTGGAGTAATGAACTCTATTACATGTATACATAATCCATCTCATTATATTATCTTTCTTTTCTATAACAAAGACCTTTCTTCTTTAAGGTAAAAATTTTACCAATTCCACACTTTGTACTTTAGGAACCTACGAAGCTCGTACCAAGTTTACAATTGTAATTTTAGATAGTTGTGTAATAAGGATAGCTGTGGAGGATCTGAGAATTAGGAAATGTGTGATTGGAAGAAAAATAAATAAATACAATCATTTTACTCTTACCTGCTTTACATCTTATCCTATCTAACTTTCGAGTTAATTGTGACAAAATATCAAGAAATATGACATTTAGACCCAGAAATTATATTATTCCTAATTTATCTTATTTAAAATTTTGATATTAATCATACTCTCGAAACTGAAAAAGAGAATGGGACTGTTCGAAGATAAAATTTTTATAATACATGTATATGTACAATAGTTAGAGCTGCAAATCAATTAGATTAAATTGCAGTAAAAGTAGATATTATATTAAAACACGAATTTAAATTATTACTCTCATCTGTATAATCATAAACATCTTTATAACAAGTTTACTGGTATTAAGATTTTGTGCAGTATATAGTATTTTGATAATAAAATGAATTACACTTATTATACATTTCTATTTTTATATAATGGTAGAATTAATATCCTTGTAATTTGTATATCAATATTTTTTTGTCTACAAATTTTCGTATAAAATAATTAGCAAAATTTTCCATGCTACATTAATTCTAACACATTAAAATTATAAAATATTCTAATTTATTCATTCATTTTCTGTTAAATTTAATTGATTTATTTGTAAAAATTAAAAGCTGACAAGTTTAGTATGCCTGATGTAATAATAACATTAAAGTTGAACCTGCTTTGCATGCTAATAACAAAATTCAAATTGTGCATATAAATGGGTAACAAAATTATTAGAACGTCACACTGTCAGAATAATTAAGAAAGAAGGTATGTTTGTTACAAAAATCTTACCTGACACAAAAATTCCATTTTGAATCCTGATCAAACTGATGCATGTATTTATTATATGTTGTTTATTATATCAGAAATACTTTATGAAGATTTAATGTTGAAAATGAAACAACAAGCATCGCTTCATCCACTTCGTAATTCACCAACGTCAATAATATCAAATTTCATTGGTTGGCTCAATAACTCGGATAACATTTCCATGAATTAGCTCAAACATATAGTAATAATGATAAGGATGGATTTATGACAAATAAAACAAATAATATATTAAATTTACTAAGAACAAAAATTTGGAATGCAATTTATTTGTCAGACTTTTCATATCAAAATGATATCTGAACCTTGTTATTGAAAGGATTGGTCATTAATTGTATTGAAAATAACGGAACAAGTTCTTTAGTAACGAATTTTCAGTATTCTCTACTCAGTCAGATTTTGTAACATTAATAATTCACAAAAAGCTCTTGTAAAAGCTGACTTCTTTTCCTATAGCTCATTCTTTAATGAAATTTTTTTCGATATTGGGCATCCCAATGAATCTAATGTGTGTTGAAATTTTCTAATAATAGAAAATATTATATGTAAATAAAATAAGATGATTAAGAGCAAAATACAGTTGTTTGAGGTTGTATTCACCTTAAAAGTTTACTTTTGATATCCTCCCAAAGTGCATCAAAATTTTTTTCATATAAAATCCATCAAGATTTTTCAAAACATCACTATCAGATCAAATTTTACGCGCAATATGAGCAAGTTTCATATATGGAACTAGCGCCTTATGAGATGTTACTAATTACTTCTGATTCGATTGATTCACTATTGTGATTTTTCAATCCAATGGAATTTGATGTTTTGTTGAAGCATCCTCTTTTAGGTGTGTTGCTTGAAGGTTTTCAAGTTGCGACTTAGTAACTTTTAAGAACTCAAATGAACTATTTAACATTTTTAAAGATTTAACTTTTATAATACAGTGGAGATAACTTTTGTAAAAATTTAAGGGAACGTCCACTAATGTTAAGATAGAATCTAATCAATTTAAATCTTCCAGCTCTATGAAATAAGCGTTTAAGAGTCTATTCTGTGCCAATCCTAATTTTTACTTGCTGATGTTTTTCTAGGAAATCTAGATAATCTTCTAAAAATACTGCACTTATTTCTAATTCTTGTTTTTTTTTCACTTATTTTTTCAATTAATTTTTTAGCTTGATTAGTATATGATTTTTGGTTATTACTTTGTTCGCCTTTCGAAGTAAAAATTCGATATCTTTGGAAGATATTTTACAAAGGAATTTAAAGTGCAAGTTCATGCTGGATGTAGGTGAAATTTTCTGGATGATAATTTTAGTAAGTCAAGAACGATGACAGATTATATGACATCTGATTCCAATTGGCATATACTTAAATGTGCGGACAGGGATCTAATAGCCCTAGTTATGACAAAAAAATAATGATTTCAAGTTATAAAATATTCAGTTATTTACAAAGGTGCCAAAATAAATGCCTCTTGCTGTCAAAATCGTAAAAAAATGATATCCGATCCTCAAATTACACGTAAAAGCAGTGATTAATAGAAATAAACTAAAAAGTTAAAACACAAGAATAGATCAATGGTTATTTGGACTGGACTGATGAATCCTCTATTAATGCAGATACATATGGAAAGTTGTTCGGTGTCATAACGATATGCTTTAGGCTATTAATTACACAAGTCTATTAATGAATTCGTGTTCCATCACGTATAACTGGCGAAAGCATGGAACCTTATTTACTGTATGCAATTTCCAATGGTTATAGTTACTGAAGAGATAACATTCAAGGAGGATAAAACACCAATATATAAGGACAAAAATTGTAAGAAAGTTTAAAGAGATATGAATTGGCCGTCATAATCATCAGACTTTTATCCAATTGAAAATGTGGTTTAAAGCTAAATTCAAGAACCAAAAATTACGAACAGAATCTGACTTAGAGGAAGCTGTATTTGTTATATGGAATACTACCATATTAAAATTCTTTATTCAATACAAGAACATATATCGTTATAGAATTAATAGAAAAATGCATGCAATTCATTTATGTTATAAATCAAAAAATAACTCGCGTTGCAAAAAAAATTGCTACATAACGACAATAAATATATTCATTCGGTATTTCTAATACGTTTTATTATCTATAATAAGAGAATTCATAATAGTTGCGATAAGGACTAAAATTAATAAACTTTTTACAATTTGGCTTTACCTATTTCGAGTTTATGATGAAGATTCTCATCTAGATGCGTGTAAACAAATTGTCGAGGATCTAAAACAAATAAGTTACCATGTCCACAAATTGCGCGATCAATTCCTTCTTTACGTAATTTGTTTATTTGATATTTATATGTTATGGTAGTTGGAATCCTATATTAATTATCGTTATGTATGATTAAGATTTATAGTTCTTAAATTTGTACGAGCAATTTGAAAACACTCACACATCTATTAATCGAATAAACCTCGGAATTGCGGGATCAGGCAGTCCACGCTTGATTAAAAAACGAGGGAGTACATTCATTGTTTTTTTAATTGAATCTTTATCTTTCGAATTGAGGACCAGAGCTGCCATTCCCGCTTGGCCATCATATGCTTTTAGCGGTAGTCCGTAAACCGTTGTTTCAATGACGTCTGGATAGGCACACAAATATTTTGCGACGTACTGCGATGCAATATTTTCACCTAAAAAGTTTTCGACATCCATATAAAAGTTTAATCCTTTTGATTTTACGCTGATTTCGTAGAAGTGGAAATTAAGTACCTTTCCATCGAAACGTATCGCCAATCCGATCCGCAAAATAACACCACCCATCTTTATCAACAACCAGCAAATCACCCGTACGTCTCCAAAAATCACCCTTTTTAAATACATCGAACAGGTTTCTGGGATCTTCTCTTTGTGGTATATTCAAATAGTTACGAATCAATCCTTTTGGGCTTATCTCATAGATAATTTCTCCTGGCTCATTAACATTAACCTTCATTTCAATTCGGAAAAAATTTAGACATTTAGCGGAAGTTATATATTATTGTTAGATTTGCTTACCAAAACGCATCGACCTGTTTCTGGGTCTCGATAAGGAACACCTTTTTCAAAATCGAATTTTACTATGATTTCTGAAAGTTTTAGTAAACTGGAAAACAAAAATAATTAATTTTCTTAGCGAAGAATTCAAAACATTCACGATGCATTGTATCAGATGAAAATTATTTACTTAAGCAACGGTCCTTGGCGACCAACCGCTCCGAGCCCAAATAACCCATAATTCCTGTTTCCCAGAAACGCATTTCCTGTGTGATGCATATTTTTCCAGACATATTATATAGTCTTTTGCAGCGAAATCTGGCTTACAAGAGTTTTTTTTACCATCTGTTTGTGCATAAAACTCTACAATTAATTCAATTCCAAATCGTTCTCTAAAAGCCTGCCAAATATCACTACGAAGACCATTCCCCTGAATAATGCGAACTTTATGATTTTTATCGTTAATCGATTGTTGCTGTAGCATCAAATATCTACAGATTTCACCTATATGCTATTATAAAGTACACATTAAAATACTTAAACTCGTATTGTTATATTGTTATCATGTAATAACAAATTCTTTGATAAACCTGAATACTGGTAGCATTAGTGATCCGACACTCATCCCAAAATTTTGAGGCGCTGAATTTTCGTCCGATTATAAAGGTTGCACCAACCCCCCAACACGGGAAAATTCCAATAATCACTAACATCAATTGAGAAAGTTGATATTAAAGATTTTCGCATGAATATAAAGGACCGTTCGTTCATACTTACACGACGAAGCATGATAAAGTGGCAATGGGCAATAACGACGATCATTGAAAAAATAGACTCCATATCGCTTTGGGGCAATTGATTTGCCTATTTTTTAAGATATTTAGCTTAACTTTTAGGTTCGTTTTTGGAATGTACTTACTAATAAATGAAGTGTGTGGAAGTTCTACAGCCTTAAAATAAAAAAATTGTTAAATAAAATAAAAAGATATGCATGTACTGTACATGATTGTTACTACCTTTGGCAATCCCGTAGTTCCACTTGTATAAATATAACATATAACATCAGAGCTTGTTATTTTTGGTTTAACAAAATTATTCAAATTACTTTTCGGCAATTTGTTCAAGTATAAACGTCTTGTTTGTGTCGTCGTTGCATTCCAGTCGTCATAAATATTATAAGCATCATTCGTTGACTTTTTATTACTGAGCTGAAATTCGACAATTGGAATTTCAAAATCATTTATTTCTATAATATTTAAAAGCAGTTCTTCGCTCACGATAGCTAGTTTCGGTTTACATAAGTTGAGAACGTATTTGAGACTTTCTTTACGAAGATTTGTGTTTATGAGCGATGCTATGATTCCAAGCTTTGCGAATGCGAGAAAAAGGAAGATGAAGAGATCTGAATTCTTCATGTATATCGCAACATCTGTGCGCGTGCATGACGAACTTTAGTGTTAGAATAAAATCGTCATTAACTAGATAAAGAAATCATGTATATTTGCCTTTTTGTTTTAGTCCTTGAGATTGTGCCCAGTCTGACTATTGAATAGATTTTAATTAGATGAAAGAATACGCAAGAATTTTAAGCTATTTTTTGCCTACCAATTTACCGATCTCTATGGAATTTAAATAGTAAATTTGAAATTTAATTTTCTATCAAAAGACAGACTATTACGGCATGATATTCTTACCTTGTTCACACTGCGCGAATGTCCAACTTCGTCGTTGAAAAACAAGCGCCTCCTTATTCGGCCATCTTCTAGCAGCATCTTCAATGACCAAATAACCTGAACAATATCCTTTTTTATCCATTTTCATTATTCTATCAGAACAAGTATTTGAAATTTAACTCGGTTATTAATCATTTGCATAGCATACGAAGTTTTTACTGAGAGCGAATCTTCGAATCATTTCTCTTCGTAACGGTTTTCAAATCTCCCACGATTCCGTATTTTGCGTCTAGATAACTGGCTGCCATTGTAGTTCCTATTATCGCGGGCAATGCCATCCCTTTGATGAAAAACCTCCTTTTTATGTATCGTCAAATTTTATCATCGATGTAAAAATGAAACATGCTTTACACAGTACATGTGTAGTGCGGGAACACAAAAGACGCCAATACATGTGAATGTACATGTAAAATATTAGTCATCTATAAAAGGTAAAATTTTTTATGGTAACAAATAGCGTTTAATTTATAAAATTTTAATCAATAATATTTGACATTAACAAATTTTCTTGTGATTATTAATAATGTAAAAAAGAGTTTTGGAAACAACTAATTCTTTTTGTGCTGACATAGTCAAAATTGGACAATGCCAAAATCCCGTGAAACCCAACACACACTAGAATAGTTGTAAAAAGACATGAGAAAATTAACATGTATAAAAGAGCTTCTTGATGCTAGGAAGAAAAAATGCTCTAATCAAATTTTCAATAATAAAATAACTTTGTAAACTTGTTAATTATTATTCTCTTTGATTAAATGTTAACCTCAAATCTTTTTTTGATTCGTCTATTGCTTGCACACATTGTATTGCATTGATAATTTCAATTAGATAACATCGAACTTTTGTAGATGCTACCGCTATATCTTATATCTGTTATTGTTGGTCGAAAATTTTAAGTTTATAAGTCGCTGAAAAAGATTTTATACACAGATATCGTTATTATTAACGAATTTAGCTAGATTTAATTTAGTAATAATACCCTTATAATAAAAAATTCAATTACACGTATTTGAATTCGCGGTTGACAGTTTAAACTGTTCAACACATATATATATGATAAAAGCTGATTTTCTTAAACGTTCCGAATCAACCCGGGTTATTTAACCCGACTTGAGTTTTAAATCGAGTCGGGATTACATTACGAGCCCTAAATTTAATCTACCCGGGTGATCGTTAATATTGACTTTAATTCTACGAATTTATGCGTCCGGTATTTTTTTGATTTACGTTACGCAACTTTTGATTAATGAGTGATTCTGATAATAAGTTCACGTAATTTGCGTAGTGAACTTTTTACTAAAGGATTTTTTGAAGAGAAGGATCTTCCACCAGAACATAAATATGTAAAAACTCATCAGAAGTTAAATGTTTCAACTGTCCGTAAGTAAGATCAAATACATGTATATGTATACGCATGCATGTACGAGATTGAGACTCTAATTAACATCACATGAAGGTTTTAAAGTACATGTCATAAATATCTGATATTAGAGAAATGAAGAAACTACCGTTATGAAACTCGAAATGAGACCTTTCGAATGCACACGTTACACACCTTTCAATTTTGTTCAAAATGTTATAATCAAAAATAAACTTCATTTAAACGGGTTATTTATACAAAAGTAAGATAATAATATCTTTCAATTAAATTATTATTCTGGTTTACAGCGGTAAACTTCTAATGTAAGCCAAAGACTTAAATTATATAATAATCAATCGAGACAATAATCGTATCATATACCTTCTGACTAATTGAATTCATGGATTTTTTAGGTGGAATTATGATTCCATCTATAGTAGGTGGGAAAGTTGACAATTGCTCCAAGTGGTTCTTTACAGGCATGGAAATATTTGACTTTTGTTGGATTTTCATTCCTGATGAGTATATAAAAGAGGATTTGTTCAATTATAAAAATCAGACCATTTTATTCATTTTGAATCCTCCATTACAGAAATGATTTATTAGAAAAATTATGGCAAAGAAAGAATAGTAGTTAGAAAAATAAAAAAAATATATTAAAGTTTATTATTAAAATGTAGAGTAAAAAGTATAATCTTCCTCCATATATAATCATGCCCTTGGGAACAGCAAAAGTGTGACATTAAAAAGGTTGTGACTGTATAGAAGTCAAATTTTCTATGCTTTATAATATCTGGAATTGGGAAAAGGACATAGGAGGTGACTGTATGGGGGATGACTTTAGTTATCATGTTTCTTTTTGGTGTTTCTTCAGAAAGTTGCTTTTTTTCCAGCAAGACGTTATGGAGACCTGTGGAACGCACCACTTGTTAGGTTCGGAATTGATATTTATATCAAATTCAGTAGTCACATATGCTAGAGTTGCATGCAAACAAATATTTAATATCGATATGTACTGTGTACATTATATGCATGCATGCCACTGTAAAAAATGGTTTGAAAATTTACCTCGATTATTTTCTTGATCGATATCGCCTTGATTTGTTGCAAATGAAATTTTTCCCGTTTATTTGATTTTTTCGAAACATTTTCAATAGGGCGTTTGTTGTTCGATTTGTAATCTAGTTTTATATTATTAATGGTATACGATAATTCAGACTCTAATGACTCCGTTGTCAAAAAATACTTACCGAAAGTTTAAATTCAAGCTCAAAAAAATTTAGCATACCACGTATCATTCTCAATATCAAACTCTCGTGAAAAATACGCTGTAAAATACTGTACAAAAATATAGTCAATAAATTTCTACTTGTATTTCGATAATGATTTTTTTTGAAAATAATGATTTCACCTTCATTTGGAACGTATAAATTAACACTTGTAGAACCTAAATTCATGATACATGTACATGTATATTTAAATCAATCTTAATTTTAAATAAAGGTTCGTACCTGTATCAATTGGGATTGATATCAATTTTATTTGATTAGTGTAAATTGCTTTTAATTGGATTTGTTGCTTTTTTATTTGTATCATAGAAATCCATTTTTGTTCTATCTCATCAAGTTCTTTCAGTTAGTCTCAGAAACTCTTTAATTTTATTATTTGTTTCAGGACATGCTAATAAACTATAATATTGAAAATGCAAAAATTATTCGGTATTCATATGTAATGATTTCTTCAATAGTGTTGATAGACCAGATGAAGGCATAAAGATCCTCAGCAGTTGATCTGTTTTCTGGAATAGGATCCCAACATTTTTCAATAACGATAATAAATTTGCACCATCCGGAATATTGGTATTTTAGGTCGTACACCGTTATTGATATCATAAACAAGATAATGATCATGACTTCGATCACCGAATGGTCGTTCACCTGTTACAATTTCGTACATAACCATTCCAAGACTATAAATATCTGCAACTTTGGTATATGGCTTTTCATTTATCACCTCTGGGCTCATATAAAGGAAGTACTCCACAAATTTCTTGGTTAGATTTTTCAATATTTGTTGGAATGCTAAGTCCAAAATCGGCAATTACAGGTTCGAAATACATTAATTGATTATATAAATAAATAGCTTAATTTAACAAGCCAAGGTAATTTTTCGTAGTTGCGATTAATATATTTACGGAGATTACCATCTGTTGCATAATCCATCACTATTGAATATTCATTTGTAACTGGGTTTTTAGTTATTCCATAATTTCTAATGCAATAACTAAAAGTGCATTTAAGAGCAGTCTGAATCTGTTTTTGAAAATTTGATTGTATCAAAAAATAAAAAGTAACTTTCGCTTTAGAAAACAATCATTTTTTACCTCATTTATAAACGCTGGGGTAATTTGCTTTGAGTTGTGTAATGTTTTCAACACAACTTCATGATCTCAAGAAAGATGATTTAATGGTCCATCCAACCAGGTTGCTTTATAAATTGACCAACAACCTCCTTTTGCAAGATATTTAACATTGATAATTCTTTCAAAAGGAATCCATTCGAATATATTTTGATGTCTATAATTCATTCTTTTATTAGATTGTCGCAATTCATCCTTATAAATTTGTATGTGGTATTTGACACAGTCATCGCAGTATTCATTCCCTTGACAATCAGTGCATTCATTGCAATCATGAACCATTTTTGAGCTCACTGATGTTTGGGTTGCAGTAGTTACCATTTTGATTCTTTATCGTTATCAGATAAAATGCGCATTACTTGAATGATGTGAAACAAGTGCATTTACATGTACATGTACCGGTATGCAGTCCGTTTTGTGGGTGCAAATCTTTTCTGTGCTAAGAAACGATATGTACATTGATCCTGCCTTCCTAAGAGATATGGCTAATTTTAAACGAAATGAGAAATCAGATATTTTTAGCATTGGAGTGTTATTTTGGGTTATCTCCAGCAGTCGGCCTCCTATTAATTAATACGGATATGCTTTCTCTTCTTCGTCAGAAAAAGAAGAAGGAATTGACGGAACTCCAGATAAATATGTCAGGCATGCTGGGATGATATACCAACAAATCGACCAAATATTGACGAAGTAAACAAACAACTTGAAGAAATAAAATGGACAGCTGTACTGCTTCCTTTAACACCGGAAGAATCAGATATTATTAATTTTTCAGATGATGAAAACGATTCAGAAGAATTAGATATTACTGACTTTTCAGAAGAAGAATTAAATATTACTGACTTTTCAGAAGAAGAAAGAGATCCAGGATTGAAAATTTCAGAATTAGAAATTTCAAATGATGAAGAGGATTTCAAAATAATTGACAAATTAACAACTATATTCAATAATTTACTCGCCAAAGGTAAAGCTTTGGATAAAATAGACGCCGAATTACAATTGTACTACAGTCAGATTTCTCTCGAGATCTATAATTATTTGGACCAATGTTCCGATATAAGTTACTTTTAGGGTTTCTTTCTCAAACTGGATCCATAGTCGAAAAGAACGTTGAACTAGCATTTAACATTTATGTAGAGCTTTCAAATAATAATAATCCTCCAGCTCAATACTTGTTAGGATATGCCTATCTAAATGGAATCGGAACACAAAAGGATAAAAAAAAACATTTGAGTGGTTCTTGAAATCAGCAGAGGATGGGGCTGCAAACGGACAATTTAGTCTGGGTTTGTGTTATCGAAATGGAATCAGAACACAAAAAGATGAGAAAAAAGCATTTGAGTGTTACTTGAAATCAGCAGAGGATGGAAATGCTAGAGGACAATAACTTCTTGTTGGTATTTTGATGAAGGAATCGGAACACAAAAAGATAAGAAAAAAGCATTTGAGTGGTACTTGAAATCAGCAGAGGGTGGAAATACTTGAGGACTATATAATCT